CCGGGAGCAGCCACTGCACTCCAGTCTGGGCGACAGAGTGAGACTCCAACTCAAAACAAACAAACAAACAAAAATACATATTTTACTTTAAAGATGTGGGGTACAACTCAGGGTTAGGTGTACAAGTGGACATGCTTTTTAATAGCAAATTATGGAATTCAGAATTCAAAGGGACATGGCTCACCTGGTTCAGCCCGCTTGTGTTACAGATAAAGCAACTACATATTTGCAACAAATGAGAAATGGGTAGCTAACTTCCCAAGGTCAATTCATTGAAGATCAGATTCCCAGATCAATGCTTTTTCCATGTTAGTATTTGGGCTTTTTTCCAGCGGTAAAGAAATGTATGCAGATCACCATCTATTATCTGATATCAAGAGTGCCTCTCTCTAAAGCTGGCCTGACTACTCCAGAGAGTCCCTGAACTAAGGATAAGTCCCGCCCCCTTTTTTCATCTCTTCATTGAACAGATAGGCGAGTTTCTTAATGAAACTTCCTGGTCTGTCATGAGACCATTGATATGTTCGTTTCCTGCAACTGAAACAAATTAAGGAAATTTTCTAGATTTGGGCATCTCTGTATTGAAGCTCATATGCCCAGAAAGTTTTTATTTTGGGGAGGAGGTTATGCTTCTATGTTGCCAAAGCCAGTGATTTTCTGTCACAAATACGCTCACTGAGTCTCTCTGGGTCGTTTAACATGTTGACTATTTAATGTAAACTCCTTCCTTTGTGGATCCCCAGAACACTGTCCCTTCCTTGTTTCCCTTCTGACTTTGCTGGCCAGGCTTTTTATTTGTTTTTTTGCTTTTTTGTTGTTTCTTTTCTTTTTAAACTCTAAACAACTCTCAAGATTCATTGTCAGCTGCCTTCCCCTATTTTTTAAGAGCTTATCCGGTCTTTCAGCTCTCACTGTGGCTTCTGCAATGACTAGTCCCAAACCCATATCTCCACATGTGGTTTTTTTTTAACCTGTCTTCTAGACATTAATGTCCGGCATCCTAGAGGTCATCTCTAGGCAGGTTCCAGGTCAGACAGTGGCCCTCTTATTGCCATCTTTAGGTCATTCTAGCTTTGCTTTAGTATTGTCTTCTTCCTGACACATTATTAGCTTTTACATGTGCTAGCCATTTCCTCTCACATGGTAACTGCCACCTTGGTCCTCCAGGCGGTCTGGATGAGGTGTGTGCAAAGGTCCACATGAGTCCCCAAGATTTGGATTCCTTTTTCCTTGATCTTGGCTGCCAAGAGACAAGATAATAGTGGGAGTCACTAAGGTTTTTCCCTTTCACATGCAGTTGGGTAACTGGTTTAGGGGGAGGAAGATAAGGTGCCTGCAAAAGGCACCAAGTTGTTGGACCTGGACATTTGTCGTAATACATAGAAACCTATTATTTGGACTCTGTTTTAGTGTTTTTGATTCCCTGTGATTAATTCATTATTTCCCTTAATTTTTAGTAACATTAGTTTTGAAAATACCAGCCTGGATGTAAACAAAGGGAAGGGTATTTGTTTTACACTCATTCCAGAATGTTCAGGGAAGAGTATTAAATCTTTGCTT